CGGCGGGGAGGCCGGGCGCGGCGAGTGCGGAGGAGGCGTGCGTGTGCGGCCGGCCGGCGCGGCCCCCGCCCCCTCCCCGGCAGCGGTGGAGATTCCGGCCCTCGCTCCGGTACCGACGTCTGGCACCGTGGGCAGGAGGGCGGGGGGAAGGGGGTGTTAGCGTGCGGCTATCGAGTGGGGCTCGGAACTTCCTCAGCGAGGCCTGAGGCGCCTCCACTTAAAGGCATTTTTTCTGGTTTCCCGACTCCCGCTTTACTCCTGCCCCAGTGTCCAAACTACAGGAGTCAACTTCTCCGTTGAAAAAGACCACCCCCGGCGAGAGAGGCCATCCTGGTGATGCTAACAGTGCTTCCACCGGCCTGTATTTTACTCTGGATATAGCTGATTGAAGATGTGGCTCACGGTGTGCCCTCTTCCTGGCAAAGGATACCCCTTAATTTCAGCTTGTCCACAAATCTCTTTACCCCCTCCTAAGAGGAGACCACCTGCATTCTTACATATAAAGTCCAAAGGGTTATACAAAGCTGTCATCCTGTAGTCTACAGTATCCTTTCCCTCCACCTGCTGGTGGTGGTAGTGGGGGATGGGGTGGGCTGTGGAGCGGCACCCATTACGTTTTATTATTTAAAAAAGGGGGGGGGAGCTTCATTGTCTTAGATACCAGCTGTTCCCGAAGTTCTCAGTCTGCGTAAAGTGCGTGTATTGAACCCACATACCCTCCTGGGATTTTTGGTAGAAGACTTATCTTCGGTTTTAAGAGTTTAATAGTTTATTTTTTAATGCTTCCGTTCTGCTTCTGAATCAAGAGTTTAGCTTTTAAGAGAAAGTGGTCAAGTGTTTTTTATGTTGTTCCTCTGTACATTTTTATACTGAGATCTTGAAATTCCCGTGGCTTGTTTCTGAACTTGAGCATTTGCTTTACTGAGATGGTAATTATTTTGGGGCTTTTCACAGAGCCATTCAGTGACTAAGTTTGTGCTGTCTTGGTGGGTTTCATATTTTGAGGGACTATTAAGTGCTCCGGGGTGTAAGTTTTAGTTCTGTGACTGTTTTAAGGCCATCTCATATGATCCTTTCTTTAAGGAAAAAAATTTAATATCTTTATTGAGATAATTCACATGCCATAAAAGCCAGATTTTTAAATGTACATCTTATGATTTTCAGTAAATGTACCTACTTGTGCAAAAATGTGCTGAAAAAATTTTTACTAACATGAATATTTAGGATGAGAAAAAAGTCACAAATTACAAAACTTACATCACAGAGTTACAAAATCCAAACAGAACGCAATTTGGTGCTTGACAAATCCCTATAATCCTTTTTTTCTTACATTTCTGGCTGCGTTTTTCTAACAGCTTCGTTGAGATGTAATTCACATATGGTACAATTCACCCATTTAAAGTGGTTTTTAGCGTATTCAAATAGTTGTGTAGCCATCACTACAATCAATCTTAGAACATTTTCACCACCCCCAAAATAAACTCATTATAGCAGTCACTCTCCATTTCCCAACTATCCCCACCCCAGGCAACCACTTTCTGTCTGTTCAGATTTGCCTAATCTGTACGTTTCATATAAATGGAATTATGCAATTTGTGATCTTTCGTGACTGTTTCTTTCAGGTACTATAATGTTTTCAGGGTTCATCCATGCTGTAACAAGAATGAATGTCAATACTTCATTCCTTCTTATGGCTGAATGATATTCCAGTGCATGGATATACCACATTTTGTTTATCCATTCATCAGTTGATGGACATCTGCATTATTTCCACTTTCTAGCTATTACACATAATGCTACTATGAACATTCATGTACACATTTTTGTGTGGATATGTGTTTTTATTTCTCTTGGTTATATATTTAGGAGTGGAATTGCTGGGTCATATGGAAACCTTATGTTTAACGTTTTGTGGGACTGCCAGACTATTTTCTAAAGTTATTCTTATTTTTAAAATTGATGTTTCCTCTTACTGCATATCTGTTACCATTTTAGTCAAAATCAGAATAAGTATCAACTCTATATTAAAAGGATGTTACACTAAGTGATTTTTAAAAAAATAACTACAAATACACAGTAGACAGATTTTTTGAGAAGTTCATAGTGCCTTATGGGCATCTTCTGGTGACTTTGATATCCTTGTATGTAATTAAGAATAGGAATATTTTTACTTTTCCACCTCAGGAAGTGACATTTAACCCTAGTGGAAAGTCATACTTTCTCCTCAGTATGACTTACTCAAAGTTTCATTTACTTGTAATGAGATAGAAACATCTTTTATCATCCTTGGAGAACGCTACAATGTTCTATTTTGTGTATTTGTTAATTAAATAAGTGCTGTATCTCCCAAAACTCTTTTTATCCCCATTTTCTCCCCCTCCAAATATGGTTACTCCATAGCACTGCATAAATAATGTATGTAGAATACAACAAATTCTTAGAAAATATTGCTTTCTGGTTTAGGTCTTAATGATACCTGTTTCATTGGGAGGTCTTTTGAAAGAAGTATGGACCAGTGCTGTCCAGTGAATTTTATTTAACCCATTATATCCAAAATACCATTGCAGCATGTAATCTGTGTTTAAAAAAAGAGAGAGGTTTTATATTATTCTTTTTATACCAAGTGTTTAAAATCCAGTTTGTATTTTACAATCACAGTGTATCTCGGTACTAGCTGCATTTCAAGTGCTTAATAGCCACATGTGGCTAGTGGCTACCTTACTGAATAGCACGCATAAAGAGGATACCATATAGAGTGAGGTAATTGGGGCATTTTTTGGTGTGATCTAACAGTTTGTTTGATTACAAATAATGAAGAATACAAAGTCCTAGAGTTTAGTTTAATCTGATCTCTAACTTTGTGAGTGACCTTGGGAGAAATCACCTTAGTCTTATGGTTCTTTCATTTGTAAAACTAGAGGTACTTGACATCTGCTTCATGAGTGTTATGAAGATTAATAAGTTATTGCTAGGAAGATGCTTGGCAATTCTGTGAGCATTTTATTACCTTCAGCTTTTCTGTTTGGGGGAAGAGAAGGAATTTAACAGGACTGAGTGTAATTGATTCTTTTACTCCCTTATTTGCAGTTGTCTCTTTTTTCTCTGTGGGCATGTATAACTTGTTACATTGAGCTTCCAAGTTACATTGAGCTATTAATGGGGAAAGTTTTAAATATGGAGACATGCAGTTGCTCATTGAAGGGCAGTTTAGGCACAGGGAATTAGTGACCCTTCTAGAGTCATAATTTCTAAGTATTAGAGTTGAAACTGACTGATTCATGCTTTCAATCTGATATGCAGTCCTATCTTTTAATCTACCATTCTGGCTCCTCCAAAATGTGGTCATGCTAACTTTCTTGAAATATAAAAGCATCAAAGAAGGCATATGTGCGAATCCATTTAAAATAATTTTCAGGAACTATCAGATGATATCCACCAAGGCTTGGCTTCTTCCCTGCAGTGTGGTAGAGGAGTGCTAGTATTTGTGAAAGTAACCATAGAGAGGGTACACAGTGCAACACAGGAAATGAGTATGGGTAGTGACCAAACTTCAAATAAAAAATTTGTCACAATGAGGTAAATCAAGCTCAGGTAGTTTGTTTTTAAAGTAGAGGAAAATTTTCTTGTAGACCTTCTAATAAACCTGTATAGTTTTTATAGAAGTTCTGAGAGTATCCAGGTTCAAATAGAGCATAAGATACGTTAGAATACTTAGATCTTAATACACAGCTTTAAGAAAAAAACTTACTCCAAATATAAAATATTAAAATGCTACATAATTAGACATTTGTGATTGTCCAAACAATATAAAACATGACATCAGCTTGAACTTAAAAAAAAGTTGCTTGGTTGGCAAGAGTTTAATAAATTGATGAGCTGTTCTGTTGTTGGAAATAGCCTTGGTGATTTGTTAAAGTGTACAGAGTGAAAAGCATTGTCAAGCTATTAAGTCTTGTTAACTTTTAGAGACTGACCTCTCTCATCACAAATCTTGGAACATATTTACTGTACTTAAAATAACTACTGTCTAATTTTTCATATAATAGTCCAAGCATGTGACAATGTGAAATATCTGATAGAAATATAG